ATTTTTTTTTTGCATGCGCAAGGTACTATTATTTTACAATTATTTTCGAGCAGTTATAAAGCAATTATATATTTCTTTCTTCAATATTTCTCTCTCCCGAATATTTTCCTGAAAATATTCTATCATTCAACGTTCGATACATTTACATGTACGTGGTGCAACGTGTCGAATTCGCGCGAGACTTTCGCAGCGATGCGAGAATCGGGCATTAAAAACGCTCGATACCGACGTCGAATTTTGGCACGCTGAAAGATACGCGAACGCGAGGGATTAACCGATCGACCGGTGGAGCTATCAGAATCGGTGATACGAAAAGCCGGGGATCTCCATCAAACTGATAACGCATATTCGCGTAATGCGTCGACGTGTATCGTGGGGCTGGCAGGAACGCGAGGGAGGACATATGAGAAGGGCGGGAGAGGGAGCGGGGGCGGGATGTGAAAGGCTCGGAGATGGGTGCTGCAAGGTAAACGATATTTACGTGGCTGGAAGATCGATAGCAATTTAGCCACCCTTCGCCGTTCCGAACGAACACTTCCCGGCGGCGACGGTGGTGGTGCACAGCCGCATCATCCCCCGTTCTCTCCCTTGCTCACCCGTCGTTACGCAGGTACGTCCACCATCACCGCTGCTACGCTTCCTTCCTCTTGCCAGCCTTCCACCTTCGTCCGTCTTCCTCCCAGTATCCTCCGCAACGTGGCCTAGTCAGTACTCATCCATATACATCGAGAAAATTAATATCTGGGCTTCGTCGGGTTCGTTCGCGCGCGCTGTGAATAAACCCGGTTGCGCCACCCGGGTTTCCAACTCACCCCCATCTAAAGCATCCTTCGTTCTTCCCTTTCGCCCCTTTCTCGCGCTGGCAGCGATCAACGTCGCGCAGCTTCCTCTCCCCGTACCGCCGCTTTTTTTCCCCACGCGTGAATGGCTCTTATTCCCGATTGTAGTAACGTCGTTTAGCGCCAGCTTCGCTTAAATAAATTTCTTTGTTATTTTTGCATGCCATAGAATAGCGATGTTGCGGGAAATTTTTTTTTTATACGGCGTAACGTTACACATGGCTATCTTTCTCGGAATTTAAACGTAACTCGAGTTAATCATGCGGATTGCTCCGAGCGTGGCGTATTGCACGTTAACTGCGAAATGTATTCATAATGAGAATACTTTGATACAAGCAACACCGAGTTCTGGGTTAATGTTAATAATAGCGCCGAGAGAATTGCAATTTTTCCTTTGTTGCCATTTTCTCCCGAAAGATCCTGCGCAACCGACATTTTCTATTACCACGTAATCCTTTCTTTATTACTTGCAGAAAGCTTAATACTCTCGTTCTTCGAAGATAAATGTATCGCTACGATGATTAATACGTGTCCGAACAAAAATTCAATTCGAAACTGTAATGTGAGTATACGATACGTTTCACGTATGTAGCTATACACCATGTTTCTATTGTATTCCGTAAAAATTATATTGACATACTACGTGTTTATTTTCTGAATTACGTTTTAACATTATTCGAAAGTATAAGAACATGCATCAGTATTTCGTTAAAAAAATTACGCGTGTTTTCAATTTTCAGCGCGGATTTTTGAAGTAAAAAAAAAAAAAAAAAATTCAAACATTTTTTTCAATTCGCGTAGGTGATATTTTCAAGAGAAATACGCGAGACTTTTAATGCAATAATTTCGATATCCGATCTTTCGCCATGTCGTGTATTTTTCACAAGCATGGGTAACTATCACCCTTATTCGTCATTCTGCCGCACGTCGACGTTGTAACCAGGGGTAACGTCCGGCGTAGCCGCGCGCACGCCGCTTATATTTACATATTTAACTAACCCAACGGCGCGAGCATTAACGCAAACACAGACGGATAATCCGGAATATATTAATCCGTGGCGGACGCATACCATCGCTTTGAATTAACGTGAATATTCCTGTGTAAGCCCCCGCACGCGCAGCAACGTCGAATCGGACGAGTGCACCACCTCGCATGCATATTACAGGTATGTTAATGCGCTTTCTCTCCCTCTCTCTCTCTCTCTCTCTCTCTCTCTCTGTCTGTCATCTCCCTCAGCCTCGTGGCATAGCCATTCCCGCGATGCAGTCGGATGCGCAGTTTAACGACGTAAGTGGAGAACGAGGGAGAGCGGAAACGATGAAGCGCGCGACACGACTACGTACGTGCTATCGGGATGTCCTTCTTGTCTCCCTTCGAGCGAGTTAATCTGTCTCTCGGGGGGAATGAAATACACCGGGAACGAATCGTATTAATGCAGGGACAAACAAGTGGTGCTTTGAATGCGATAAGTGCAGCCCATACACGAAAAGAACGATTTTGTTGAAGTATATCTAAAAATTTAACTAGATATAGATCTGCTAATAATTTTGTTTGGAGCATCATAATAATTATGATGGACATGTAAACTTGTTGTTAGAACTTATTAAAACTTTTTGTCATGAACGTTTAGTATTCTACATAATTATTTTGGTGATCGAACGAAATTATTTTCAGATCTATATCAAGCTAGATTTTTCGATTTACTTTAGCAAACACCATTCCTTCGGTGTATTGATTGTATTCGTATAACGCTACCCTTTATTTTTATATTTCGGGTATACATTTCTGAGAAAAATAATATTTCGTCTATATAAGAATTGATTTATCTTTTTAGCTTAACAACAAATAAACAATTACGTGTGATATTATGACAACGTCGCTTGGTTATTATGTAATGTTATAACACTATTATACCGGAGTTAATGTGTGTCAATATTATTATTGACGTGTACAAAATATATCCATCGGTATAAAGCCTGAATCTGGTCGGTTTTAGCAGAAAACGATATTTGCCCGCCACACCAACTATTGTTATCAGTGTTCTATTGACTACCAACGTCAATTGACTGATTCGAGAGAATGCGATTTTGTGTTATTATTGAGGCTTATTAGGATATATATTGGTAGCCTCTGAACAATGTTACTCGTGCGGATCAATGTCTGCGTTGTCTATCGATATTCGCAATATATATTTTCCGCGAGTCTCGAGATGTGTAAGTCCGATGATGAGAGAACAGGTCGAAAACCACGGACGAGACGGAGCTTCCGTAAGCCGCTTTCGTCCGTGTCCTCGAGGGGATTTAAGTCCCGACTCGTGCAGATCAAATTGTCGTCAAATATTTACGAGTAAGGAGCCATTCGTCGTATGCAGCGCTTCGAATGTGTCGTCGTAACGTTGCCGCACTTGTCACGTCGCGTCAGTACGAATCGACGCAGATGAAGACGTCGCGACGCGCCGCGCCGCGTCGACGACGACGCCGTACTCTTTTTTTGCGCTGTCACGCGCTCGCCGAATGCGCTCTTTGAATTTTAATACATCGTAAAATCGTGGTGATTCCTAACCGGGTTAATTCTCAATCCCTCATCGAATCGAGTATGAGCGCGTATTTTTTTTATCGATCTCGATTTTACCATCGTTTTTGAAGGAAATGTTTTTTTTTAGATCGAAGTATTGCTCGTCTTTTACCTCGTTTCGTATTCTTCATAGCGAATGAAGTATAAAAACGTTCATATAAAATTTTGTTAAAGATCTACGCACGTTTCATCGGTTATATTTTGATAGAAGAGAAATTTTTGCATCTCTATCTTTTTTTAGATTTTGTGAATTTTCTTTTATAGATCATATCGATTAAAAATCTAAACTAAAATTGATGTTGTTTTGATCGGAATGTAATTAACTTTGAAGTAAATGCACTTAATGAAAGTAGCTGATACTCTAAAATGCACAAAGTTTGGCGCATAGCCGTACTTCCTGTTGTATCATGGAAATCATCCGGAGTCTTGAGAGATCTTCACTCGCCTGCGAGATCTTTCAAGTGTGCTCCAGCATTGTTACCGTGTAGTAGCGAGATATGTGAAAGATATGCAAGCTACGCTGCTCTTATGCCGCTGAGAAATTCTCGTTTAACTCGTAACGGGTAATAATTTTGTCGCCCGTTGATAGTAGAATAACAATACAATCAACGATCAATGAGTGTCTTAAATTTAGATATGCAATGCACGTTTAACGATTATTTCGAAATGGTAATTTCTTCAGACGTTTTTAAGTCGCTACTTTTAGAAATACATGTCATGAAAGTAGAGTCGAGAAATAGAATAATTTTATTGACACATGAATGTCTCTCCTAATTTGCTTTCTTCAGATAATTCTCGAAAAAATCGGTGACTATAATTTTCTGAGTAACTGTACAGAAACGCGCCGCAACTCGTTTATAGAAAGTTATTTTTGTGGTACGCACTTTTAGCGCGCGAAGAATCTCGTTCGTTTGTCAACGCCGGTCACCTGTCAACCTCAAAATTGCGTAAGGTTGGCATTCGAGACGAATCGAAATCAGCGTCGAAAGAGATTTTACATGAATAGTCAGTTATGTTCTCTGAGTCATGTATCTTTATTTTTGAATTCCACGTTGTTGTATTACAAATATAGATGATCTTAGAATTAGAGTTAACGAAGTTGAAATAGAAATATTCACTATAAATATATCATCAATTAAAAAATATTTATATTCACCTTGAATGAATAGGCATCATACAATATATGGAATATATATTCGATACATTGCCTATTTAATCAGGATAAATATAAACAATCTTTGCACTGATGAATACATTCAAAATTTTTATTCGATATCGACAAGCCTATTCAAAATGTGTATAGCATGTTGAAAGACTTCGTACATTTGTTATTGCGTCAATCGAATAAGCTTTATCTTTCAATATTCTCAGATAAACGTGAAGTTACATCTGATAAAAAATTATTCCGTTGATTAATGAGTTATAATTAATCAGTTAATAATTATAATAAATTGTTAATTTTATTTTGCATTTAGATCCATTAGATTCATAAGAAAAATTAATTAGCTTTATTTATGATATAAGTTTCTACATATAATGCGAGACATAATGATATTAACGTTTAATATTTCACTTTCGTGTTTCAGGAAATGGGAACTTAGAGTTGTTTGATAGTGAGAGCGGGCCGGACCTCACGCTATCACCTCAAACCTTCACGTCAACGGCGGAGGCCTTCATCAATGACAATAGCGACAGTCTCGGGGTTCCAGGAGACAACGATACCGGTAAGTCATCTCTATTCAATTAAATCAAACGATCTTTATTCGAAATGAAAAAAAATCGCAATCTTTTAATACAGAGAGAGGAAATGAATTCTCGTCGAAAATTACAACTTCCATAATTGATAAATAGTAGAAAGAGATTTATAATATATTATTAGGTAGACGCAAGAAGTCGTGCATAAATGCCAAAAATGATGTATTTTTTCATTTAGTTTAATTCAGACGATAACAACAGAGTTTCGTAGCGCGCGTATCGTGTAATGTTACAATCGAAATGCTTAATTTCTCAATTTCGACTTAGGCTAAGACGATGAATCACAGGATAACTACGACAATGGAATTCGCATGACAATGATTTTAACGCGCGACTTCCCGTAATTCGATTTAATTCAATCTGCGAGAGTGCAAAACGTCGATGGGGCGCCGAGTCGTTAAGCGCCGGAACATGGGACAATGCATTAACGTAATTGTTGCTCTCCTCGTCAGCGGCACGTAGGAACAGCGGTTATAACTAGTTCGAACAAGTCAGAGGGGGAGGAAAAGCCGTTGTCGCGCGTGTGCCGCGACACATAATGCCTATTGTTTCCGACAAGTATAAGGGGCCACCGTCGGGACAGTCGTGCACAAGTGCAACGCGCACGCTTTGTTTCTTGGAGAAATGTTGAGGGACAATCAGGACCAGTCGGTGGATATAGCAGTAATTTCAATTATTATTACATTCCCTCGAGCGAAGATAGCTATTAATTCCAAGAAGAATACGATATTTTTTTATATTACAATATTTATTGAAGGAAATATCACATCGATTGGAACATAAAATGATATATTCAGGTGTATTAACACAAAATTTATTTACTTAATAACAGCTTTACTACATTAATCATCCTAGTTTTAACGCAATGTTAATGCAATGTTTTTAAGCTTCTGGCAAAATGTCTAAATCCCTCTGGCTCTACAAAATGTATTATACATTCGACCTTTGATATTATTTTCTAAATAGCAGCTTTCAACAAACTTGTGTATGATGAATCATATATTCTATTTATAAAACACGATGCAAAACATCGTGCAGCTTGCGGTTCTTAGTGACGTCATTAACATTAGAGTGTATCTCCCGCATAAACTCTAACGAATCTGATCAGGTTGAGCCAAAAAATCGTAATCGTAAATATATGTTTCGCACAAATTGTTCCAAGATTTTTATTACTTTTATATGTACAGAGAAGATGTCGTTAATTAGGTATATGCGAAGAATATCGTTTGGCGTATACGTTCCGTCGCAAGTTTTGCCACAAGAATGAATATTGCCACATCGTAGTATCGATATTGTGAATCAGTAGACTAGTATCATTCAGTTCGTCTCGTCGAATGGGATTTCGCGAGCCAAAAACGTACTGGTCATGAAACACGAGCCAATAATCATACACGTCATCGCGGTGCTCGCACATTTCTACAAGACACGTTTTACCTTCGCTATTATCGAAATTGACACACTCCTTATCTGAATCGCAAATGAAACAATTTTCATCAACAAAAATATTGAACATTTAAAAGTGATTTCTTAGATAATTTAAAATCGCAAAAATTTTATCTACTGCCTCTTTACAAATTTCTTTGAATTCTACAATTTTACTGAGTTAAAAAAAGTAAATCTAAAAGTATAGGATGCTCAAACTAGTTGCTAAAATATAAAAACTTTTTGCGGTATTGCTCTTCATGTTTAAATTTCCTACATAAATATTTTGATGGTCCAATAAAATTATTTTTAGATCTATATTTACTTTAATTTTTAAATATTTCTTCAAAATTATTCTTTCTGTATAAATATGTATTTTGGTGCAACGAAGTTTTAAATAAAAGTTTTATCACGGATCTACATACTTAAAATTAGCTGAAGAATACGGTTAAATCCATAAATCTCAAAATTGATTCAGAATAGTTATATAACTTTGTATAATGTTCTGATTTAATAAACCTTGCAAAACAACTCGTGTAGTTCGAGCACTTTTCATCTCACTTTACAGCTCGTATTCTCTTATTCCCTATATTTCGCGGCAAGGGAAGCTCTCCTCATCATTCTTTGGTCCTCGTATACGTTGAATGGATTTATTGGAGAGTTGGTTTGCAACGGATGAAACACGCCAAAGAGAATGAGAGAGAGAGGGGGGGGGGGGGGGGGGAGGAGGGAAGGAAGGAGGAAGTCGATACCGGATTTTGCCGCCAAACTCCAAACGAGCGGTCGGCGCGGCCCCTCTTTGTGGAACATGCGTGTAGGGCGACACATAACTTTCGCGCGAGTGTAAGTTCGTTAGAACAATTTCGCAGCGAATGGTTGTACCAATGCGATGCGACACGATGCCGCCGGCCGCAGAGCTTCCGAAAGCGGAAGGCCGCACGGCTCGCCTATGAATAAATCTCATCGCGGGGCAAGACGATATTTGCATATATCATCCGGCAAAAGATACGTTCCAAGTATCGTTTGTACAACTAGTGCGATATAAGAAAACAATTTACTCTTTATCTCTGGGAAAATAAATAGCAGCGCAATATCCTGGATACGTCTCTTCCACAATACAAGGATCAAGTTTGATATTTGATATAAAACGAGCACGCTGGATATTTCTATCGTAATAGTAAAGAATGAAAACCGGGGAACGCGGTTTCCATTCGCCAGGCGAAGTTTTATCCAGTTTTCGTAATGCTTGAAATATCAACCCTGCTTTACAATAATAGTCGTATTTTCGCTATCGTGTTTTCGATTCCATGCATCTGTTCAGAAAGGTATGCCACAGTTTTTACATTAGTAATCTGAGCGACACATATGATTTATGTCAGATTATATGCGTACGGATCATATTCGTATTAGGAGGAGGAGGGGGGAAAGGGAGGGGAGGGGAGGGGAGGGACGTTGGTAAATGTAAATTTTGCGAGGACAGTTTCGTTTTTGTGCTCTTCGTTGCGAGAGCAATCCGATACACCCTGATTGCAGATCGCGTAAACGAATGGAATGAGCTGAACGGTCGGATAATTCGCGATAGCTCCCGTTGTTCTTGAAACGGTACCGTGAACTGGGTCGTAAGAAGGCAAGAGCGCAATCGCAGTCGGACGTGATGTAGTTTACTTTGGCGCACCGGTAGCATTCGTGATTCCGTCTCGAGTCTCAAGATGTATGTCGTTGCCTTCTATGTCGGTGCGCTATGTGATAGCTAACGTTAATTTGACTCGTTTCAACCTGATCAATTCGCTACGTTTTGAAATTTTAGATTGCCGCATTTTTCTTGCGAGAAATTGTACTCGGCTTAAGCAACATATTCCACCGTAAGCGCAAGAAAGAAATGAGAGAAATTTCTCTAATAGGATAAAATAATTACTGCAGGGAGTGTAAAAGGGAGTGACAAAAATGCAAGTGTTTTAAATTATTTTACATAAAATATATCAAATACGATATTCACGGTCATGCTTAAAATTCTTACTATGTTTGAAAAATATATATATATTTTGTATTTTTATTTTTTAGTAGATAGGACAAAGTTTTTATATGTTGTAGTTTATTTATATAAAAATAGTAAATAATACTTGATAACTGAAGTTTTTAATAAGTACCGCATATACCGGAGTTACCTCATTAAATATGTATCAGACATTTTTTTTCTCTTTACGTTTATCATTTTTATAATATATTATTTTCAATTATTTATCATGTGGATCATAATCCTTTGCTCGTTATTGAAAGGATTCTTTTTCGGGTTGACATTCTTTAAATTGATTTTTGAAACTGCACGTTTTCCCTACGTAATTGCATAAGCTTCAATCTTTACCTATCTCTCGAGGATAGGACATCAATTATCGGTGATCATAAACGATAGATATAGTCTAGCCATCATCAGTAGTCACTGCATATTGTATTTATGACTTGCGATTAATGCGATATCAATATGTCCGAGTCATAATGAAGATGCGACATGCGCTGATTAATTAACTACGACAATAAAAGATGGTATTCTATATAGGAATCTGGAATTTGTTAAATTATTTATCGAGAGATATGATAAATGCCTGTCGGAAAATAGCCATCTCACTCACTTGTGACTGATATACTCTGATTATAGTTTCATCCGTGAAATATTTGCATCAATTGCTACATTATTGTAATAACATCATGATGCGTTTAATACTTGATCCTCCTCAAGCATGTAATATATGTATTGTATATATTATTAAACTACTAATATGACGTATATCGTTATTGACGAACTAATAACAATAACGTTGAATTTTATTTTCAAGTTTATAATGTAAATTCATTGACCAGCTTTTATATATGCATATCGAAAGAAATGTCAATTCATCGCATTATTTCCTGATGATTGCAATACTTCATCATTCTTAGCGCTATTAAAACGAGAAATGTTTTCTCTCAGAGTTTCTAGCTCTGAAATAATTCAAGTTTTTACGATGATAGATTAGACTTTCCTTCGCGGTGATGAATTCTGAAATTCGCTAATCTTTTTAGAAGAAGGTCGGGTACATTTTATGCATAATAATCTTTGTCTTTTTTCTTTGTCACGTGAACGTAGCGTTTGCGCGCTGATTTTGTAGCATGAAAAGACGTGAAGTGAAAAAGAATTTTATATGTAGCTACATTTTTCATTTCTCGTTTTCTTCAAATTAAAACTAAGTGAAACTCTAGTTTAAGATATTTTTTAAAGCTTTGGATTATTTTATTCATTATTCAGTTAATAGGAGAATATGCAGGAAGAGGAGAGAGAAAAGAGGGAGAGGGTGAGAGAAGTTGGCAACCATGACAGTGTGGCACAACGGCGATCGATATAACGCCATTGGCACTCTCTAAATAACACTGATCGAGATTCGTCGATGCAATTGCAAAAATCCACAGCCCGCGGTCGTCCTAATGCCATTGGCCGAGGCAAAGAGATATCGAAACAGATCCGTCAGTGGAGGAAACTCGTCCTCGGATTTCTTCGTCCGCTCTTATCCTTTCT